TGCCGCCAGCTCCCTCTTGTGTCAGGACTGAGAGAGACTGGAAATAAAGGTGGTGTCGTTTGTAAAGTAAGCTTTAGTTGATTCTTTTTCCGCTTGCTTTCGAAGTTTTGCCATTTCAGGTTGCTGAGTGCTTTGTGGCTATGGGGTTTTTTTGCGAAGGGTTTGGGGGTTTTTTGGTGCTTTTTAATAGTTTTTTTTTTTAATAATCATAGTATCAGTTAGGTTGGAATAGAGCTTTAAGATCATCAAGTCGAACTGTAATTAAAGTGTATGTTACCTTATCGCAGCTAGTGCACCACCAGGGTGAAACCAGCAGGAAACCCTGCTGTGAGCCAGGGGCAGAGCCTCTTCCTCGGGTGTGAGGGAGAAGCCCGGGGTCAGTATGAGGGAGGCGCGGTACAGCCTGTGCTCTTACTCGAAGACATGTACACTGAGGCACCCTCGAGCGTGATCTCTGATCTCAATCACTACAATGCCCATAAAAAGTGCAGTTTAGGAGTCAGGTTGCATCTGGGTGATTCACTGGCTGGACAGAAAGCACTTCTTCACATACTCTTCCTCACTACCTTTGTTGGTAGTTAATGAGATTTCCCCCTCTTTCAAAAATTAAGTCTATTTATCCTTAGAAGTACTACTCTCGTCCTACAAAGTGTAGTCATGTTTCGTCAGGGCCTTACAGTGGAAATTAGGAGAAAATAAGTGACTTTTGAACACAACCGTGAGGCCTCCACAGCAAGACTCATCCAGAAAGAGAAGGAAAATCCACAGGCCTGGGAAAGCTGTTAGGTGTGGTTTGTGAATCAGAAAACAGCCCTAGCCAACTTGCCCAATTGCACCAACCAGTTACATGGGTATGAGGGACCAGAGAATGGCCACCAGCTTTTCATTTATATAAGTGATGGCATCCTGCATGTTTTGGAAATTAAAATTATTTTTTCTTACAACATGTAATCAACAATAACAATGGCTATGCCCTGCTAACTCCCAAAGGAGCAGACTAAAACTCCCTGATGTTAATTTGGTAGATTCCAGGTAGTCACCTTACTTACATTACTTCAGTACACAATGAAAAGTCCTTACCTTTTTTGTTAATTTGTTTTGTTTTGGTTTTGTTTTAATATTTCATAGCACCTACAAATTCTGACTCCAGAGGTTCAGAACAGGTAGGTAACATCAAGTACATAAAATAATTATATAAATAGCAAGTACTTAAATAATAGGTATTTAATTATTACTATGCAATGTTAAGATTTACAATCCTAGTTTGTTATATATAAAGATTTTTTTGTTCCACCAAGCATTGTGGTTCTTCTTTGCTGCAATCTCTGAATTTTATTTTTAAGTCAGGTATGCAGAGTTGAATACTGTCTCTGAAATAGAGGCTAATATATAGATGTCATGCTCCTACAGTCTTCTCTCATAACACATCATCTTCCAGTTAGTTTCCTGAACTGTTCACGCATGGTGCACCATCACATTCTTTTTGCAGACACTGATGTAGTACATCTGCACACTCGCTAACCCACTTGCTGCCACTTGAAGTCTGGTTTGAAGTAATTTCTCCCAAGTGAATTAGTTTATACTCAGACATATCATGTTTCTTCTGACCCATCATCTATTCTCGCAAGATTATCATGTAAAACAGTTACTCCTCCATTCATGTCAACCATTTCCCTTAGCTAAATCAGCACTAATTATCAATTATTAATATGTAAGTGCACATAAATATTAAATGTCTGCTGCTGCTCCAGAACAGTTACTGACAGGAAAGTCAATGGGGCAACCGAGATAAAGGTATGGTTTTTCATGGGGCTGTTGTGGTTTTTGAAAGAAGCGTGCCAGGTGCTGCAAACCAGATTTGCACAAGGTCAACACAAACCCTTTTTGTGGTTGACATTCCAAAATGGTATCATGTACAATGATGTAAAATTACATGTCCTTCCAGTATTTTTGCAGATTTAAATATGCTAAGGATGCATTAAGCAGTAAAAAACCTCACTTGTATATTTCATAGGGGCTGTAGACTGGGCTGCTGCTTTTGATATATAAGGGAAGGAGAAGTGTCAGGAGCAGAAACAGGGCAAGAGGAAAGAAACGGAGTGTGCCAGATATTTTGGAAGCTTGTTGCTCCTGGGCCTGCTGGGAAGATGGGAATATTAGGGCTGGTAATAGCTGCTTTTTGAGGCACCGACCATCCCAGCAGGAATAGTTATCACCTCACACGCTGCCGCCCATGAGTTGGCAATACCAGCTGTAGCAGGGAGGCCAGCTTTCCAGCATTCTGGTGTAGGCAGAGG